GTTTAAAAAGAATAAAAACAAAAACAATTTTACTATACTGTAATGAATTCCTATAATATGTTTTACAGTATTTGGCATAAAGGTACAAGGTTTCCCGCTCCCCATCAAAGTATGTACATTGTATTTTCAAAGTCAAGAAAGGTACACTGTATGTTTATTTTTTACATACGAGCGAAGATCTCCAAAGCGCTACCCTTTTAAATACATGTAATACATTTTGAGACGGACAATATACTACCGTCTATATTAATAAATTTATATCAAGGAAAATTAAAGTATAAACCAACGAAAGTAAAACAAAACAAAAAGAGAGCAAGTTAGGAAGCATTTTAAAGGCTCGATGCGTCACTTGCATTTTCGTTAAAATATCAAAGTTCACACGCCTTATATACACGCTGAATATGCGCTCAGGTTGATTAGTTAATAGAGCAGGAGCCCAGGGGGTCAACCTAGCTGAAAAGTGTATCAATTTTCTCCTATATGGTATCAATGTATGTATATCTGGTATCATCAGAATGTAAGTCTGCCGGGTTTCTGGTGGTGGGTGTGGTATTCCACGCCCAAAATGCCATGCCCCCCAACTAGTCTAGACTAGCTCAAAAGTGTACCACATGAAAATTGCACAGCAATGTACCGTACATCTTCAGGTATTACAAAAACATTCTGACAGACATTTCTAGTGGTGGGGTACCCCTGACAGAGCTATGTAATTGCCAGACATTTGTAGTGATGGAGTATCCCTGACAAGAGTTATCTAATTTCCAGACCAAAGCTAGGCTAGATTAGCTAAAATCTGTACCACCTAAAACAGCTTTGGAGTTGTTCAGTACCACCACCGGAATCATGAATGATCACTGCCAGACAGTCTGTGCGGTGGGTTGCCCCTAACAGACACGCCAAAAATAACACGACCCCCAACTAGGATAGATTAGTCGGCACTGTTCCTGTGGACCAAAAAATTAAAAATTATGCCAGGATGCGTAGAATACTAATACCTAGCACATATGGGAGAGGCGATAAACTGCGGTTGTAGGAACAATTTTATTTTTCAAAAACGCATTTTTAGGCCATTAAATGTTTTTTGCCCAAAAATCAATTTCTTGCAATCGCAGTTTATCGCCTCTTCCATACGTGCTAGGTATTAGTATCCTACGCATCCTGGCTAAAAATCTAATTTTTTAGAACACGGGAACAGTGCCTGCAAAGCTAGCCTAGTTGGGGGCGTGGCATTTTGGGGCGTGTCTGTTAGGGGTAACCCACCGCACAAACTGTCGGGCGGTGGTCATTCATGACTCCTGTGGTGGTACTGAACAACTCCAAAGCTGTTTTAGGTGGTACAGATTTCAGCTAATCTAGCCTAGCTTTGGTCTAAATATTAGATAACTCTTGTCGGGGATACTCCACCACTACAAATGTCTGGCAATTACATAGCTCTGTAAGGGGTTCCCCACCACTAGAAATGTCTGTCAGAGTGTTTTTGTAATACCTGAAGATGTACGGTACACTGCAGTAAGATTTTCGTGTGGTACACTTTTGAGCTAATCTAGCCTAGTCGGGGATCACGGCATTTAGGGCGTGGAATACCACACCCACCACCAGAAACCCGGCAGACTTACATTACTAGATATACATACATTGATACCATATAGGAGAAAATTGGTACACTTTTCAGCTAGGTTGCCCCCCTGGGCTCCCGGTCTATAACTCAATATCATCCAAAGTCTTCGACATTGAAAATACCAATTGTTTGCCAGTTTAAATCAACATTGATGTTCTGATCTTACCGGGAAAAGAGGTGTTTCTGATATCCAATTGCAACAAGGGACTCAAAGAACGAGGCTAGACATATTCCACAAGTCATGTCTAACGGTGACGTCATATTCCTATCTGGAGAGCATGCGCAATAAATATACTATCGGTATAGACTGGAATAACCAGACGCTAGAGATTGCCATTCGATTGAGACTTCTGGCGTATTTCGCCGAACATAACTGATTTGAAATTAGAGTAAAAACGGAAACGAGTGTAAATCAGTTTATATAATTCATATTGCATTATTATATGCGTTACGACCCATTTGGGTCAATTTTTAAACATATATAGAAAATAAATCAACAAATAAACTGCAATCAAATCAGTATGTTTAATTTTTTCCCCAAATCAAAGAAGGGATGTTATCTCGAATTCTATAGCTGATATTTTAGAAGGTTGAGAAAAATTCCTGTTGAAAAATAAACACATTAATCATATGTTTCTGTATAGAATTATTGTTAACAAGAAAACAGTTGGTTGTCATTGCTGGTTATAGAAGTTGTAGATTAACCAACATTCCAGGATCTTGTTATAACCTTTAGGTTATTAACTTCACTACTGTTTCTTAGAAGTGATAGAGTGGTTTTAAAGTTAAACCAGTGGCTTAAAGATGTATTAGGTAAGATTTAGATAAAGAGCTGGACGTTCTTGCTATAATAGTTCAAAAATAGAGAATGCAAAATGAGTATATATTTAAAGTTTCGTTCAAATTACTTTATTCTGAGCGAGGTTATCCCTAGTTGAAGTTTTGACTTAGCCTCAAGTCGCCATTTTGAAATTAAATCATTAATGTTTTAATATTTAAATCGCCGACAGACGATATTCTAGAGAGTTGATTATGGGCTTGTCACGTGAAACAATGTCCAAACAGTAGTTTATATAACATTTGAGGGCCAAATAAAGACTTGCAATAGGCTGATTTAATGCATCTTTCTTTAAAGATACATTATGGGAGATAAGATAAAGAAATGGCAGCTCTCGCTATAATAGTTAAAAACTAGATAGTGTAAAGGTAATTTGCTGAAAATTTCAGTCAAATTGATCCACTATGAGCCGAGAAAGAAGCTGGTGAAATTTTGGCATAGTCTCGGTCATCATTACTAAAATCATTAATATAAACAGCATAGTCTATATTATCCACTTTATCTGATTTAATTATCTTTGGCCGTTAGCGGCATAGATGAATCTAATCCAGCCTACATCGAAGGCTAGCCTTGACATCGAGAGTTTATTATGGTCTGGATAAGTTAATTAATGTCTAATTGATAATTTAGATAACATTTCAGGCCTAAAGAAAGACTTGTAATAAGCATATTTTGCTCTTGCATGTTTAAAGGAGCTAAGTGGCTAATATTTGGGACCTAGAAATTGACACAAATGGGTCGCAACGCATAATATGAATGTATATAAATTGATTTACATTCAATCGTTTCTGTTTTTACTGTAATTTCTAATCAGTTAGGTTCGGCGAAATACGCCAGTATTCTCAATCGAATTTCCAGTCTACACCGATAGTATTTATTGGGCCTGCTCTCCAGATAAGAATATAGCGTCACCGTTTGACATGACTTGTGGAATATGCCTCGCCTCGTTTTTCGGGTCCCTTATTACAGATAGCGCTGAAACGCATTATGGTACACTATTCGTGTACCAATTGTAAAATGTTTATTTTTTCTTCAATATTGGATATCAGAAGGCCATCTTTTCCCTGTAAGATCACAAGACCAATTTTGATTTGAATTGACAAATAATTCGTGTTTTCAATGTCGAAGATTTTGGATGATATTGAGTTAGAGACTTAGCTACTTTAAGGCTTGAAATGATGATTTGTCAAACATTAGCTAAGAATGAGTTTAATTGTCGTTTATGGCGGTTTTCTAAATTTGTGTTGTACTTTTGAATGCTATAACCAAAACTAAACCCAAATAAACAAACAAAAGAACCCCCAAAAGCTACTATTCTCCTGATGCTGTAAATGTTTATGTTGTTATAATCTTTACACGGACAAAATAAGCCTGAGATTTATATCTGTCTCCGCATGACATATATTGTTTTTATTGCTTGGATTAAACAAAAGTAAATTGTTAGTAATAGTTTTGACTTCAAAAAACTTTGACAGCGATAGCTACATATACCAAGTAGTAAAAATGAAATTCCTTATGGCTGTAAATAATGAAAAATGAAGTTGGATAAGAATTTCCAGATTTGTGCATGCACAGTGACATATTCCCGGCACACCTTCGTTTTTTCCCTTATTTTCTGTTGCGGACTGCAGGCAGCGATTAATAGGATTTTTCAGGTTATTGCTGCCTCTTAATTACCTGTTGGCAAAGTTTATAACCTCTCGTGTCCGTATTCTTCAATATTGTGAGGTGAAACTTTAAAGCAGGAGACACACTAGCCGAATTATTCGGCCGAAACCAATCGCCGCCGAATTGCAGCCGAATACATTTGGCCGATTGAGTGAACACACTTGGTGAATTCTTCGCCCGATTCATTAGTCGATTGCATCACCTTTCACGTGATAATTCACAAGAAAAAGAAAAAGAAAAAAAAGCTGCAGCGGTAATAATGTCATAATGAAATAAAATGGGGTTTAAAGTCCTACGGTTCTGCTCCGAACTGGGCCAATAAAGACGGGAATACGCCATACAGTGTGCTATGAGGGAAATTTTGCCCGGACAGCGCCACTACGGCCTACTCTTATATCGAATTCCAACTGTCAAGGGATCTTTTACGTGCACGTCAATGTGTACACGGGACCTCGGATTTTCGTCCCATCCGAACGACTAGACAGCTGTCCCTGTCAGGCCCTCCGTCCTGCATCACTGACAAGGGGGAACCACGCCGGAAAATCTGGATGAACTTTCTCGGCCAATGCAGGGATCGAACACCCGAGCTCCAGGCTAGCGAGTCAGCGTCTTACCCACTTAGACCGTGACCCCCTATAATGTAATAAAGAAATTATATTTAGCAACAACATCTTAATAAACTCTTTTAAAAATTTCAAATTTAAATACTCCAAATCCATTTGTTTAATTTTACGCCGTATAATAAGTCCCGATTCTTTCTCGGAATTCTACGTTTGTCTTAAAAATACCATATTACTTTCTCGACATTAGTGTTGATTGGCTAATAAATTCAGTGTCCGTGACAGGTGGGCCTAGGTGCATTAAAAAAACGTGGGCCTAAGTCTATAAAGAAAAAGAGAAAGAAAAAAGAGAAAGAAAAAAGAAAAAAAGAAAAGAGAAAGAAAGGAGGGGGGAAAGAAAGAAGGAAGGAGAGGACAGGACACAGGACAGGAAAAGGAAAAGATGGGGAAAAATGACTGACAAACAGCACAAGGAAAGAACTCCAAGGAAAGAACTTTATGAGTTTGACCTCATTATACCGAGAACCGTGTAATTCATCTTTTAACCTCTACTTAGTTCAGGAAATAAAAAATTTGCCTTCTTGTGCTTTGGTCTGAAATGCTTGGAAAATGGGTTTGCGGTTGTCAATAAACATGTTTGATTCGAGTGAATCATTCGGGCGAATACATATTCGGCATCGGGACACTGGACACACTAGGTGAATTTCGGCGGCGATTGATTCGGCCGAATGATTGGGCTAGTGTGTCCACCGCTTTAGACCGTAACAATTTCTCCCCATTTTGGCGATTTACTTGCATACTTAGTACTCTGCATCCCCAAACGACCCCCACCCCCTTTACATGTATGTGCTGTCTCATTTTAACATGATTGCACAATTTTCCTTTCCCTTTTATTAATATTCATAAAATACGTTACTCAACCTATTTTCCATGCGATATTCATTACACTGCTATATCCATCACACTCTGTGATAAAACTTCCTCAAACTTTTGGATAAAATCATTTAAGATGTTTACTTTTACAAATCTTATTATTCGTGGGAACCGTGTTATATAACTCTTTTCCAGCCGGTAAATTTAAATTTTGTATTCAGAGAAAGGCCACTCCCGGTGATATTAGGGCTATACTATATACCGGAAAACACCGAAAAAAAACGGAAAACAATCGGAAAACTACCGGAAAACACCATGTTATAACCGCGAATTAGCCGTAGTTATATTATGGTTCATTCCAGTTTTAAATCAAAATTTAGCAACAATTACATTATGGCTCATTCATATTTAAAAGCGAAGAAAAGATAATGGTTCATATATAGCCAATGAGATATTGGGGACACTTTATTTGCCGGCAAATACTTTTGGGCCTGTGGTGGCCGAGTAATATGATAAAAAAAAAAATGAGTCTAAATATCAATTCTGTATAAATATGTAAAAACGGTGTGGTCAAACTATTGTGGTTAAATCATCAGTGGTCAAACTTCTGTCTAATCCAACTGTTAACACATCATACGGTCTAAAAGTACTTCCGGGAAAGGATGAAGATGGGACAGGGTAAATGAGTATTTGATCACGTGGTTGAGGTAACGTCACTTTTTTGGCTGGGGTAACATATTCTTGTCTTAATGGAACAACTTCCGGCGGAACATCGCCAACCACTTCCGGCATATCGGTTACCGTTCGATTAGATTCCCGTGAATAGCAACACAATAACACAGACTTGAAATGATTCCTGAATTTACCACTTATTAAGGTGTAAATAATTGGGTTCACAGAATTGGCACCATAGGAAAAACACAAAGCAAATACTTCCCGTTTACGGAATATCAGGGTATCTCCTTGTCCTGTAAAATCCTCGTAAAGATATATTATATGAATAGGGAGCCAGCCAACACCAAAGGCTATTGTAATAGCTAATATTATCTTAGCAATTTTCCGTCGCGTCCTTAAACCACTTAAAGCTATATCATTTGGCCGGAATCCGGGTCGAACACTTGTCCACAGCTGTTTAATAATCCTTATATGGAAAGCACCAAGAACTATCTGAGGCAGTATGAACATTGTGATAAACATAACCAATGTGTCAATCTGTTTGTGACCTAAATTATCACTTTTTCTCATACAAAACATTCTAGTCTGAAACACAAGAAAATACTCTTCTTGGTGGTATATAAATATACGTGGTATCATAACAACTAAAGAAATACACCATATTAGACATATCACAGTCTGAGCTCTTCTTGATGTCCTGAAATAAAACAAATAATTATATATTCATCTGAACAAAGGGAATGGCCATGGATAGTATTTTACTCATCTAGGTATTTTAACCACTCAAGGAACTATAAATGATCAACATGGTCTCTATCGTCATTTTGGAGTATATACATACACACTAAGCGTTTTAAAGAGAGAAATCTAACACAAAATGAAATGAAATGAAATGAAATGGGGTTTAACGTCCTACTGTTCTGCTCCGAACTGGGCTAATGAAGACGGGCATACGCCATACAGTGTGCTATGAGGGAAATTTTGCCCGGACAGCGGCACTACGGCCTACTCTTATATCGAATTCCAACTGTCAAGGGATCTTTTACGTGCATTCCAATTTATACACGGGACCTCGGTTTTTCGTCCCATCCGAACGACTAGACAGCTGTCCTTGTCAGGCCCTCCGTCCGAAATCCAACACATTACTTGTGGTATCACAAATGCCTATATTATTATCTTGCACTTTGAATGCCAATCCACGAAGAAGGCATTCGCTATAAGCCATTATTATGCAGCTGGAGTGCGGGCATTGCTAAGTTCAGTGAACTTGAGCTTTTCCACTATTTCAGAGCAGTGAAAATAATATTGTACCTCTCTTCACCCTGTTAATTTAGCTGGTCTTGCCATGATATGCTTACCAGATTTTGTATTCACCCGCATGTTATTGTTTGGTGTGCCATTATAGTGACATTCACGTCCAAAAACAACAGCTTATATCTACGTGGCAAGTTTCATTCATTAAACATAGTTGGAATAACTTCTTTGTGTGGCAGAATTTTAATATAAGGCAATGTGCCTTTAAGTTGGCATTGCACACCAACCTTTACTTAAAATATTCGACTAAAACGGCGCTACAATATTATTAGTTTAAGCCTACCTGGTAGTTCTGGATCTAACGGGGTGAATTATAGCATAATATCGATCTACACTAGTCGCTGTTAAAGTTAAAACACTTATAGCCAAGCTAACACTCTGTACATAATTGACAAATCTACCTAGAATTACAAAAGTACATGTTACCAATGGAATTAGTACATCCTCATCGAAATAAAGGGAGAGAGAGAGAGAGAGAGAAATGGGGTTTAACGTCCACTCGACACAAACTAGGTCATTTCGGGACTAACATATGGTTTAATTTTATTTCAATAATTCGCTTGCGCGTAGGGGTCTTTAGCAGTGGGAGGAAACCGGAGGACCCGGAGAAAACCCACGAGGTTGGACAGGCGACCCTACTCCTTGTCACGTACAACCGGGGATTCGAAACCACGCCAGTCGACTCAATGATAGACTTTATGATACAGCGCGCGCACGCTAACCATTCAGCCATCCAACCCCCCTCGAAATAAAGGACACACCGGTCCTTATGTATATCATTGATACATTGTATTGTTTTATTTTCGTTTTTATTTTTTTTTTTTCGTTTTGGGGGGATCACGTGGCTAAGTGGGTAAGACGATGGCTCGCTAGCCTGGAGGTCGGTTGTTCGATCCCTGCATTGGCCGAGAAAGTTCATAGCCAGATTTTCCGGCATGGTTTTCCCTTGTCAGTGATGCAGGACGGAGGGCCTGACAAGGACAGCTGTCTAGTCGTTCGGCTGGGACGAAAAACCGAGCTACCGTGTACATATTGGCGTGCACGTAAAAGATCCCTTGACAGTTGGGATTCGATATAAGAGTAGGTCACAGTGCCGCTGTCCGGGCAAAATTTCCCCCATAGCACACTGTATGGCATATGCCCGTCTTCATTAGCCCAGTTCGGAGCAGAACAGTAGGACGTTAAACCCCATTTCATTTCATTTCATTTCTATTTTCGTTTTGAAATTCCCACATTATCAAACCACGGTGTGGAATGTACCCTTTACGCGGTGGTATGAATTTCTGTTCCGATTTAGTGGAAACTATGTCGTAGGTTGATTTTGTTTTATTGCCAGAAGGCTAGCCTCTGTTGCAATTTCATGGGATAGAAATCGGCAAGTCACGTCAATAAAATGATTTCTATTCCCACAATCAAACACAAAAAAGACGATGAAATTAGTACAATATGGCATTACTAACGCAAGTCGTTGCTAACGAAAGGTCTGACTTTTACGCATTCTATATGAAAGAGAAAACAAGTTAAAATTAGTGTTTTGAGATAACAATAGCCGCCACTTCAGTATATTGTTAAGAGTTTCAGGAATGTGGCGTTTTGGGGAAAAAAATTCCGCCATGAAGAATGCACAGATTAGCTCGGCATCAATGTATGTAGTTATGTAGGGGGGGCGCCGAGCAGATAGTGCAAGTGCTTTTGGGAAGCAAACCCACACTACACTCCACTGACCATTTTTGGAATTTTAAAGTGTATTTAAATATTTTATAATCCCTACTTTCGTACTTGCAAGTACTTTGTATTTAAGGAAAAATAAATTAATATACAAGCAATGTCGTGCGTTTTAAATACTGTAAATTCCAGCTGAGATACAGATAGCTGTTTATCGATTTTCATCAAATAAGCGTACGGTTGGATACAGGATGCAAATACAAACTGAATGACACGTAAACAATCCAGCTCAGGTCATCTTTCATAAGACCTGCCGATGTATCTAAAAAACGTTTCTATCGTTGCAGTACAGACCTATATTATTTTCCGTGTCCGAAAAGTTACGTTTCCTCGAATACAACTGCCCAACCACACTTTCATTAACAGCTCCACAGCTCTGAAAGTTCGTTGGGTCTCCGTGGACAAGTTGTAGTCTACCCGTGCTTTAAAATCCCAAATGTTATCAGTCCAGCGACACTTAGGTATCTCGAAGGTTCTTCTTCGTCCAAGATACAACTGAGTTTGACCATGCCTACCAGTCTACCCCCGCCACCGAAAGTTCTCCTTGGCCAAAATTGGATCCACACGTTTGATGATGCCCGGGGCCACTCCTTGATTATATGCCCCCAAGAATTAAATATAGGACCTAGAGGGTTCACGAATGTGAAAAAGGGCGACATTTTGAATATGTAAAATAGGATGAAATAAACTTTGTATTCAAATTAAGTAGGGCAGATTGTTCAACCAAGTGACAATTTCACATTTAAAAAAAAAACTTAATTTTAATTTCATTCTTTGATTTGATGACCGCTTGGTATGGATGTCCGGGTCTGTCACCCACTCGGCTTCCCCCCTCATCTCTGTACGCCACCGATGGAATCAATACTTGTCAATCTAGTCTTTCAAAATATATAGAAGCATTTTCCAATGACAATTTGGCAAAAACAACCACTGGTGTTCTCTTTTGACTGGATTAGAACGCATCCTAGTTTAACAGATAATAAACTATTGTAAGTAAACAACATAGAAGTAGACTTGCCAGACTACCTAACATACACATTTCCATGCACACGGCGCTACACGTAGGTGCCAAACTGGAGCACAAATAGATGAGTTTTCAATTCTGTTTGGACAGTGCCCCATGGGCTTCCAGCCTCTTTGGGACCCTCGACTTAAATTAATTTTAGCGACACGAAGGGATGCGTTTGCCGAATCCATAGGGTTAACATTTAAGACTAAAAGAAAAAAAAAAGTGGCTGCATGAGACCCTGCTGTTCGTGGGCCCATAGGTTTGAGCCTTTCGGATAGTACGGTAATACATTTGGAAGATATTGGATGCGAGTTTATATTTTGTAACTAGAAGATGTTTCTGTTAAAGCGGGGTGTGCGAGAACTTAAAGTCTATACTTCGCATCATGGGTAGCCAAAAAACTTTTCGACATCTCTGGTGACATGTGTTAATAAGCAACTCCAGCGTCTGGAGTTTTGATATTGGGTTATAGGTTATGCTATATATAGATAAGAGGCTGTTACAGTAGTCTAGTCTTGGCAAAACAATACACCGAACAAGCGGACACAGCTCACACGAGGTAAGGGCCAAAGTTATTTTAGTCTCCACCCTCCCCTTTCTCCCTTTTGCATGGCGATCTCTGCTGACATTTAGGTCTAGAATCAAAGAGAAAGGTTGGAATATACACTTTCTTGTTGGTGAATATTTATGATTTGGAGACGGTAGGAAACACGAGTTAAGAGGTTGGTTAGGTTTAATTGTAGGATGAGAAGTTGTATGTCACATGTTGCTCCATCTGTAGTAGAAAGCGTTCAACCCCACGACAAATTGGGAAAAAGTTAGAGCTGGTCTAAGAAACGAGAATTATCATTAAAATCAATGGGAAAAAAATTAATGATCAGTGGTCAAGTGTATGAGCTGCAATCTTAGGTAGGAGGCGAAAGGATGTTTCCAATAGTCCGAAGGTGGAAAAAGCAAGCTTTACAAATATTAACTATTTGAATGTCCGATCAGTTTTGCGGATTTCACAAGGTTTTCAGAAACGGGACAGAACTCCAGAATGGAAGGTTTAAAATCGTCCTCATATGACCCCAATTCTTCAAACCTAATTTGAGAAAGAAACATCATTAGAAGACTGTTGGACACAATAACCTCTACCGCCTGCACAAGGTTTATGTAAAAGTAGGTGAGTGATGTGGTGTTTACTCCGGAACGGACAATCGCGTAACCCTGAACATCGATAGGCTTCGTCCTCTCATGACCAAAATAATGCTTCCCAAAGAATTTGAAAAAAAAACCCCAAATCAATCCAATTTATTGTTTAGCTTCTATCTCATTTACATGGGATGGCGAAATATTTTAGATGCAGAATTAGTTTTGCGTTTGACGTACTGTGGCGATTTCTAATTTGAGCTACGATCGAATTGATCACAGCCTATATAAAGAAGTTTGCTGAAATTTATTATGACATAAAACTTTGATGAAAGTTGTAATGACCTAAGTTACACCAGGAATGACCTAAAATGTCTACTTTGTTGCGCAAGTGACACATGTATGAGATAAATAGTCTAAATAATGACATTTATTGTATTTAAAACATTTATATTTGACACATTATGTCATTTTTGTCGCCCTCTCATAGATGTACTTAGACGCTTTTAAAGGGGCATTGGCGAATTTGGTGACCCTGACTATTTAACTATTGATTTCACGCTCTAAATATTGAAAAAATATTAAATGTGGTTTCACAATATTTTCTCTTTCACACGTTATTAACAAAAGATTTAATTATTCAAAACTGGCACTAATTCTGCCATGTTTGAAAATAAATATTGCCTGGATAATCGGGGTTAGAAAGTTATCGTAACAATTAGCCTGACGCCCGGACTTTCAAAATGATCTTTGATCGGAATATTATATAACGACGAAAATCTTACAAATACTACGTTACGACATGGTATACTTGAGGCACTCACACCCAACAACGCCAGAGCTCCTGTCTGGTAAATTTTACCGTTAAACACAGCTGTAATATCTGACTTTATCCCTTACAAACATTGTCAGGGATTCCGGTTGCGCTCTGTCGTAGTGGAAATAATCAGCGTCGATTCATTGAGCATCGGAATTTGGAACAATGGACTGATCTGTGTTATGCAGGCCACCCTCATTATACATCCACCTGCACGATTTTGAAAATATTATATTCCTTACGATTGACTTAACAAAGGATTCTAGCATATTCCACTGGGTGAGGAGGATAATATAAGTCTGAATTGTAACTGAAATATTCGCTGAAGGGCAAACTTTTAGTATCATACCGATCAAATTATATACTTAATTTAAATTTTACATTAATTTCTATTGATTTCAAACCGCCATCTTTATCTGACTTAGACCAATCAACTAAAAACAATTCAACTACCTTTTCCTTACAACCCAACCCGTCCTTCGCCAAGTTTTCATTTTTATACAGGTGTGCTTAATTACATAATAATAACGAAAGTCTTTAAATTAAAATAGTATAATATATATATTTTTCTTTTGAGATATTTGTGAACAATCTGGCTTGCTGTACCTTTAAGTTTGAATCTTATACTTACAACGTTTAAGGAAAGTACGACCAAATTCCTAGAACAGACCAATCCTACAATTAAATATGGCTGTAATGTAATTGTTTGCTTTAACTTGTATCCGTAAGTGAAAAAAAAAACCATCGCAAATGTGAGCGTTGAAAATTGTCTAGTAGTGATCGAGATATTACTGTTTTAATAAATAAAACCAAGATAATTTCACTGTTTAAATATAAAATAACTGTATTACACCCTACAAGACAAAAGATCGCTACGAGCAAACGAATTATTGAAAATAAAATTGTAGCATATGTTGGTCCAGAAATGACCTAATTTGTATCAAGTGGACGTTAAACCCTATTTACTCTCGTTCTGATTTCTTCACTATACATAAGATCTAACATCCATTATGCATTATGCCACAGTGAGTTTATAAAGAGATCATTAGAGGACGTTTGGTGTGGTAGGACGAATTGAGACAAATAATAGGACATATTTATTTAAAGGACAATATTGGTGTCAGTCATTATTACATATGTGATAGAACTGGTTAAATACATTCCAAATATAATTTCAACACAGAGATCATTGCTATGGGAGATGTGTAACAAGCACGTGAAGAAACGGGAAGTGACGCCAAACATGACAAACACGGGTTATCTATATATATATTTGTGACTGTCGTTTGTCTGTTCGGGGTTGGCGGCTACAATAGGTCTGCCCCGAGTCTGAAATTTGGGGTATAGGGGTAGCTCGGACCGAGGAGTAACATAGGCCAGGTGGCGTTAGTCTACCACTTCCGGTTTCGGAGTTATGACCCCCGAGCGAAGTCTGTTCGGGGTTGGCAGCTACATCTGCCCCGAGTCTGAAATTTGGGGTAACTCGGACCGGGGAGTAACATAGGCCAGGTGGCGTTAGTCTACCACTTCCGGTTTCGGAGTTATGACCCCCGAGCGAAGCCGGTCTGTTCGGGGATGGCGGCTACACTAGGTCTGGCCCGAGTCTGAAATTTGGGGTATAGGGGTAGCTCGGACCGGGGAGTAACATAGGCCAGGTGGCGTTAGTCTACCACTTCCGGTTTCGGAGTTATGACCCCCGAGCGAAGCCGGGTATCCTGCTAGTCCTTATATAAAACTGACTGAAGTAACGAGCGATAACAGACAAACGATCGAATTTCATTTCACTGATAATTCCGTTGAAGACGAAAGGTTATTATATGGGACGGCAAGCGGGTATCTCACAATTCAAAAATAGAATTGGCTGTCACTAGATAAGGGAAAACGAGAAAAATAGAAATATCCCGTGCATTCCCCCGTTTTTATTCATTCTGTTCTTAATAAAAACATGGTAATGCACGGACTTTTTCTAATTTGTTCGTTATCTTTAATCTACTGACAGCCAATTCTGTGTTAAAATTATATTTGGGATGTATTTAACCAGTTCTATCACATATTTTATAATGACTGACACCAATATTGTCCTTTAAGACCGGTAAAATATAATATACGGAATGTAAAAAAGAAGAAAGTAATTTGAAAGGCGCAGGAAACATTAAATACCGAGACATAGAAATATAATCTGTCACACGAACAAAACTGTTAATCTTGAAATAATATTTCTCCTAAAACGTCAATGCACATAACCTTTAATATTTCTTTTGGGTCTAGCATATTTTTATAAATATTTTTAGATTATAATCAAAGAACAAAAGAATAGACTAAGAAGTATAGTGGGCGTTTGACTGACAGGAAATATCATGTATTATTCCTTAAATAGACAAAAATCAATTTTTATAATAACATAAAGAATATATTTCATTCCTCCCTTTTATTCCAAGAATAGTTATTCAATCAACCGAATGATCAAATAATGACTTTGGTCACAAATTGTTATTTTTTGATTGAATGCGTATTCTAAACTAAATTAATATCGAATTACTTGGACTAAAAAACTGCTAGGAGGCATTCCGAAAATTCCCCGTTTTAATGTCTACGCGTTGTACTATAATTAACGAGAATATGGATGTAGTTGCTAAACTTTAAGAAAATTATCCATGTAAAACACAGTACAACAAATATAGATTATTAAGAAAGCGGAGCCGAGGACGGTACCTTGTGGTATCCCATAAGCAAATACAAAGCATAAAGACATTCACTGATCTATGACGCAGTATTTAAACTAAAATATATATCCGGTCGTCACCTGATATTGAAAACCAGAGCAAACACCTTAATATTTTAGGTGTTTAGAAAATAGTGTAATACCCCACCTCGTGCACAATCCATACCACTACTTAGAAATAATTCTTGTAGCCTTGGAATTCAGAACCCAATGCTGCTTGGTATATATAGGGCGATCTGGAGGCATTTGCCAGTAGTAAATTGCAGCATTTAGACTTCATGGTAAAGACTTATACGTGTTATGACCCGAAGCAAAGCAATGATTATATTGGGGTAGATTAATTAAAAAGTAATTCGTTTATAATAATACTTACATAAAAATAATCCAAAAGGCCAGTATGTTAGAGCAAATCCTGCTGAGGTAAGGGGCACACAAACTAATAAATACAATAAATCTATGGCAGCCAAATTAGCTAAATATAGGTTAGTCACGGTTCGCATGTCTGGACGTCGCATAACAATATATATCACAATAGAGTTACCTATAGATCCAACAAGAAATATGAACATAAATACCACAGGCACAATAAACTTTTCTAACTGTTGTTCAACATCAATAAATGACGTATCGTTGCTATCATCAGTAAAAATATAAGCATCCGAATTATTAATGAAATCTTCGTAATTAAAATCCTCGTAATTAAAATCTTCATAACCAGAGTCGTCATAATATTCATAATTTCCATAATTTCCATAATTTTCATCCTCACTCGTCGGTATGGGCTCAAGCATTGTTTGCCGGCTACCATCCATGCGACAAACGTCTGTTAGCGCAGTTTATTGTTGATCAATTTCATTTGTGTAATGATGTCGATAAGGTTGGTCATTAACGTAATATTCCAAAAGAAATACGCAAGGCATCGCATGTCGTGTCGGCAATCCAGCCGTACCACCTGCAGAGTTACTGCTACGATTTCTTAATCCGGTAATCCGATAAAGATCCAATGACGCGCGGCACTGGGGTTCGGTCTTGACCAACGGCGAGGTAAAAACAATAACAAAGCCACTAATATTATGTTTACCATTTTGCCCAGTGGATATATATAGCTGGTGGAATTTTAAAACTATTCAGAATTGTTGAAATAGTGGGAGAGAGTCCCACAATGCAGTATAATTAAGTACCTTGGGTTATATTTACAAGAGTTGATAATTAACCCATGACAGATACTCATAAAACATGACTTACTAATTCACATTACATAAAAAACGGCACACGGGTTTAAAAGAATTTAGCTGGAATCACGCCAGTATTTTTTCGGTCAATGTCCGTTGGAATGGACGTAAAGGACTGAAGTAAAGCGGAAAGAACTTAGTAAAAGTTGGTTAAATTATGCAAAACGAAATAAAAAGAAAGTTCTTCTGTCACTCATTACATAATGAATACATTATGTACAGGTAACGCTTGAGTAATTTACACGAATTCTTTTGACGTTTTATTAGTTTGTCTAATTGACGTCTGTGTATTCTCATTCATACAAATTTAGTGAATTGCGAGGCGGTGGAACTTGTTGAGATTGGCTAACCCCTACCAAGAAGCCCCTCCCACATCGCTGGCCGCGATAAGTATTCAGGCGATAAATATCAAACATGTTTGATATTGACGGAGGGGGGTTGGGATAGTCTAGTTGTCTAGAGTGCCGTGCTTCGACCTCTAGCTGGCCGGTCACCTCTGGTTGCGGTTGTGGTTTCGATTCCTCGTGGGTTTACCCCGGTTTCAACCCACAGGAAAGGCTCGGGTGTGCACTAGGATAATACACATGAAAATAGAACAACTTGTCTGCGATATCACCTTCGATGGAAGCGGACGTTAAACACTGAGAACAGCAACAATATTAGCGGATGGTGTCGACCGACGCCAGAGACACACTAGGTGAAATCCGCTTGCAAAGGGTAGGCGCGAATGATATGCCGTAAAAATTCGCCTAGTGTTTCCTAGACCCAGAACTAATGACTGGGTTTTCAACCGATATAAAGGTTTTCAACCGATATAAATATTCGTTCCTTATGGGCCCAGACCGCTATATTTCAACAAAAAATTTTACAACCCAAGCCAGAGTTTGTTTGCCTGGTTCTTATTCGGAAAATAGGAAACTTGCCCCTTTGCCTCGAAGATATCTAAACTTGCCCCTCTGTAATACTATTTGGTAATTTATGAGAATATAAGTGCACCAGGTGCAGAGGTTTCCTGAGGACTAGTTAGAAATTTACAAGAGTGGGGTTGAGAGAAAGACATGTTAATTTTAAGTATTGTAATGTAGACTATTGTTTAACTGTTGCTTGCAACATAAAACTTTATAGAGAAAAACTATCGTTGTTCCCGTTACTTATTTAATTTTGGTATCGTGAGAAAACACAATGGTGAAGTCCTTAAGAAGAGAGATATAACAGTAGTCAGTCCAGAGTCAAATCGACGCCAAGACGATCAGGCCAAAAGAGTGGTAGTGCTACGCCTTCGAGGTACCCCTGCACCGTTTCTGGCAACTTCTTTTGATCTGATATCTACTACCGGTTTAGGAGAGGATCTGAACAAACCAAAATGACATGATCACCAAAAATTATTGATCTACATCTGGACGGAATTGGTGGCTCACTTTAATAATGGGTATACCGGACATATCTGTCCATATCCAACAAACACGTTTTGTTTAGTAATTTTTAGTTTTCGGTTATGAAAATGGAATAAATGTGATTCCGTATTCTTTGATCAGAACTAATTTACTGGAAGCGAAACCGAGTGATCCAGACTATCAAGCTCCTACCAACTCACTTTACTTTTCAGATTCCAAATTCCAACTGTTCATTTCTATATCTTTGAAGAAAACTATGATGATCGTAGCTTTAAGTTTATGAATCAGACCTCTTTAGTCAGATGTCACAATTCATCTAGTGGGAGTTTTAATTCACAACTCTATTAACGGCCTTTTCGCATACGTAACAGTAAAGTGCTTGTTAACTTTATTTAATTCTGATACTTTACACGTACAAAAATCTGTCCGTTGCCAAATTCGTCATTCACAACCATGTGTTTACAATACATTTTGAAGCCAGGATAGCTCCCAGAGAAAGGCAGTCGCTAAGGCTTACGCTCCCGGTTTTGGCCGAGAAAGTCGCTCGGGATTTTCCAGTCTGGTATTCACTTGTCAGTGGTGCAAGACTGTGGGTCTGGCAAGGAGCATCCTCTGGTCGTTCTGAAGGGACGATACCCGAGGTCCCGTGTGTATGTTAGCTCGCAGATAAAAGAAAAATATTCATTGACAGCCGGAAACGCCACTGTTCGGGCAAAATTTCAATCATAGTAATCTGAAGAGTTTATGTATGACTTCATTGGTCCGGTTGGTGCAGAAAGGGATAGACCGGGGGCCCAGTGCGGGGAGGCGTCCATCAAATCGGCCCAACTTTTCTATGGTAAAATTTTGCGTAGAATAAGATGCCGGGCCGTAATCAGTCCGCCGTCGGGGCGTTTTCGAGATATTTGGCGTCAAAGGTCAAATGAGGTCATTTGCACTGAAAGTGAATGCGCAGCCATTCTTATATAATGAAAATATGCTAAAAATGATCGAAAGTAATCACTCTTTAAATAAAAATGTGAACTTGCTAAATACACCTTTGTTCTTTGTGACCCCGGAGGTCAGAAGGTGAAATTTTTCGTTTTAGCACTAGGAAGATTTAAAGCAATAAATGTCAGCGTAAAATATAAAAACTAAAGCGAAACCTGTTCTAATTAATAATAGGAAGATTTAAAATATATCTTTAGGTGGTCTAAGCACCGAACTTTTACTTTGGAACGTCGTAAAAGATCTTGCATTACAGAACCAAAACACTTCGAAACCTGATTCAAAAATACGTAAAAACTGCCAAATCAAAATCTCCCCGAATTAGTTTTACAACGAATGTTATACATAATGATACTAGTCGTCTGAAAAAGACTGCCAAACTTTTCCCCGGTAACATTTACAAATACAACATTTATATCCCGTGAGCTATTATGTACAATGCATCCGTCGGTTTTATCTGTGTCCATGTTCCGGCGAAATTCATGAAAACTCTCGTCGTTAGATACATGTTTTCCGGTCACAGATTAATGTTGGTTTTCCCAGATTGGGATTCCCGGAAATCCACGCGCCTGCAGGCTGGAGTCCAACCATTGAACTATTCAATTGTTTTTCAGACAACTAGTTTCATTATGTATAACAATCGTTGTTAAACTAAATCGGGGAGATTACCATTCGGTATCGTATTCTAAGCAAAAGTTTACTGTAGAAAAATTAGGTCTGGTTTTGTGCCCATCTGATGCCCCCCCCCCCTCCCACTAAGCCTCCGGACCAGGAGCAGGATGTTAAGCATCAGATTTCGTTTACAGTGTATTTTACCTAAAACGCCTTCTTTGTAGTCTCAAACATCCAGACTACATCTATACTGATATTTGTGACTGTCCTTTGTCTGTTCAGGGTTGGGGAGTAACATGGGCTAGGTGACGTTGGCCTACCGCTTCCGGTTTCGGAGTAATCGGCGCAATCCGTGCAGCGCATCATTCGCTAGTATCTATATATATATTTGTGACTGTCGTTTGTCTGTCTGTCTGTCTGTCTGTTCGGGGATGGCGGCTACACTAGGTCTACCCCGAGTCTGAAATTTGGGGTATAGGGGTAGCTCGGACCGGGGAGTAACATAGACCAGGTGGCGTTAGTCTACCACTTCCGGTTTCGGAGTTATGACCCCCGAGCGAAGCCGGTCTGTTCGGGGTTGGCGGCTACACTAGGTCTGCCCCGAGTCTGAAATTTGGGGTATAGGGGTAGCTCGGACCGGGGAGTAACATAAGCCAGGTGGCGTTAGTCTACCACTTCCGGTTTCGGAGTTATGACCCCCGAGCGAAGTCTGTCTGTTCGGGGTTGGCGGCTACATCTGCCCCGAGTCTGAAATTTGGGGTATAGGGGTAGCTCCGACCGGGGAGTAACATAGGCCAGGTGGCGTTAGTCTACCCCTTCCGGTTTCGGAGTTATGACCCCCGAGCGAAGCCGGTCTGTTCGGGGTTGGCGGCTACACTAGGTCTGCCCTGAGTCTGAAATTTGGGGTATAGGGGTAGCTCGGACCGGGGAATAACATAAGCCAGGTGGCGTTAGTCTACCACTTCCGGTTTCGGAGTTATGACCCCCGAGCGAAGCCGGGTACCCTGCTAGTATTATATATTCTAGTCTGAGGGTTTTATTATTTGAAAATTATATGTATGTATAGCCAGTGGTTATATATATATCTTACCAATTATGGCAAGTTCACACCAATAAGACGTCTAATAATCTCTACTCCACATCTTCAGTAACTATGTATTGTTCAACTTATAAATATCTCGAAATTTTTTCATGCACCAACAATAAACCCAATAATGTCACTTTTATAATTAATAAATCATAATATTTAACCCGAGCAGACACTGAAATGGTTAA